TATCTATCTATCTATCTATCTATCTATCTATCTATCTATCTGTGTGTGTGTGTGTGTGTGTGTGTGTGTGTGTGTGTGCGCCCAGTGCCAGCTGACAACGGCTACTCGCTCGCTCTTGCCTCACTCTAACCTCAGTTGTCGCTTGGTTGCACAAGACCGCAACAGCGCTTCGGCAACTGGCACGAGTGGGAAAAGAGATGTCGACAGCCACTGCTGGTGTGTTTTTGTATCCAACGTATCAGTCTGCATTCAGCTTCTCTCCCTCGAACTTTCCGGACCGATGCGCGGCACCTGCAGCCGCGATTTTGGGATCTGACACGTCCAGAACGTTCACTGACTTTTTTTCTGGGACTTTGGGTCGCTGACTGAACTGGGCTGGACTGGACGGGACTAACTAACTTACCCGACCATATCCCATGGGACTGAACTCGGCCTACCTTATTGCAGGACTGGGCCCTATGGGACATGGAACTTTGGAACCTTGGGAATGGGAATGGGACTGGGACAGGACACTGATACTCGTGAAATCTTTTCTTTTTTTCTTTTTCTTTTTCTCTTGCTTTTTTTTTTTAAATATAATTTGGACCATTTCTCGATTTATGCGTGTCATCCTTGTGCAGGGGCCATCTTCTCTTTCTCTGTATTGCTCCAATTTTAACGGATGTCCCGAAGGACCTCGTGAAATTATTTCTAATATCAGGCTTCCAAAGACGTACGGACGATCTCAAGAAGTCAGACTGAACATTGAAAGATGCACTGGTCGTAAGGAGCAGTTGTTAGTGCTTATTATTCTTGATAACAACTTAAAAAGTGATAGAAAGCTTGCCGCACTGGGAAGGTCAGTGATCCAGTGCATATTCCAGGGCAGTAAAGGACGACCTTGAGGGACGGTCTTTACAAGGAACTGTCACAGGCTTAACTCACAAGTCTGGCAGCTTGGCTGAGGATAAGAAGAAGAAGAAGAAGAAGGGAGAAGAAGAAGAAGAAGAAGAAGAAGAAGAAGAAGAAGAAGAAGAAGAAGAAGAAGAAGAAGAAGAATTACAGAGACAGATATGTAGACAAGAAACAGCCAGAAAGCAACTTGGCATTGCTGGGGAGAGCTGGCAGATGTCAGGCAGAGACAGGCAACCTAACCTCCCCGACCTTGTCTATGGTCGGAGGCAGCTGATAGAGATAATGACCAGGTGAGCAGGACCTGCTGAGTGCTTTTCCTTCGATTGCAGTCTTACCTGCGTGTTTGGGACGTGGAATCGTGGATAGATTCTGATAGTTGGGAAGGGGATTTGCTCCAACAGGAGGACTAACTGAACAGTTGGAGGCTGATTCTTTTTTATTTTTTTTTTAATTTTTTTTTTCCAATAAAATAGCTCCTTCTATTCTGGGGAGTGTCAGTCCGGTTCCTATTCCACCGGCAAGTCACAGCATAATACATTACAGAGTAAGAACACACGCTTCCTCCCGTCCGGCCGGAGGACCCCTGAACAGCATTGATTACTCCGCCCTTGGTGGAGGATTGACTGTCAGCTTGCCTTGAGTCTCTCTTCCCTCTCAGATCTTCCCTAACAGATCTGCCTGAAATTCCTGTTCAACCTAGGAAGAGATCCTCCCTTGCTACCATGTGATCTACCTTCCTCTTTTTACCAATTCTTCACAAAAGCTGTGTTCCCCCCTGTTCCCTAAAACCCCTTTCTCTTCCTTTTAAGTGTTGTAAAACCCTAAACCCTAAACCCTGCTTCCTCCCCTGACACTTTAATTGGTGTCCCTTGTCCCTTATTCTCCCCCTTCAATACTTGACCTCCTTGTCTGTACGTCCCTTCCCTGCTGCTCCCTCTCTTTTGCCCCAGCCCCGTTTGTATCTCAGTCATGTCCTTGCGAAGTTAGATTGATTTTAAGTGGGTCTGAGGTTCCCTCCCTTTGCGATTTCTTCTGCAGATCACTCCTCCCTCCCGCCGTTTATGGTAGTCCCAGCTCCTGGTCCCCCTTCTCGTCCTCATATGGCGGGTCCTGGAGATCGTCCTTAAACCAATGGAAGCGCAAGGCTTTCCCTTCCAATGAAGCCACCTTGCCCCCTGCTAGAACCTTTGTCCGAAACTTGTTAATTATTTCCTTAGCCTTATCTGGATTTAATTCTTCCTGCCTCTCCGCTTGGTTCTTGGCTCTCTGCCATTGTGCCCTGATTTCTGTTTCCAGCAGGTTGTACATTATTCCTCTGGCTTCCTTTATAGTCATATGATTCCCTCCTACCACCCTTTGGCATCTTCTTTTCCACACTGTCCACAGTGCGTAGAGCCTCAGTACCCGGAAAATGTATTTTGGGCAGGAATTCCAGTCTCTGGGCGCTTCCATGTTGATTAGGAGTCTGTCTCTGATCGGGGGGAAGGGAACTTCCGTGACCCGGGACCATAGTGCGCGACCTAACGCCCACACCTTCTCTGCCTCCGGGCATGAGATTAAGCAGTGGACCATCGTTTCCAGAGCCCCACCCGTACACAGGGTACAGTTTCGTTCCTCCTCTGTCCTAGCTTGCCTGCTTCTTCTTTCATACAACCAAGAGTTGACTGGGAGGGCCACGTGGAGGATGAGCCATTGTAGACTTCTGACCTTACCCAATCTTATACTGTGAAGGGACGACCAGGGCAACTTCCCCACCTGGTCTCTTGGTATCCCCTCCCTCTTTTCCCATCTTAAGGCTAGGGGAAGGTCCAGATGGGTCGATCTTCTCCTCAGCCTATAACCCAGTCTCGTTGTATAGTGGAGAATATTAATCTTCGTTGTCACTCGTGTCTCTCCACCCCTAATATTCCATGCCCATTCCGCCGGGTCGTACTCCAAATCTTCAATGGCCACCGTGGGTGCAAATACTGTAAATTCGTCATCCTCTACCACCCTGATCTTCCTGAGCAGGCACTTCTTGACTGTGATTGCTGTCTTGGATTCCTTATCCAGGTGACTCACTGTGATTCCCGGATTACGAATTACGAACATCTCTGCATCAAGCCACTGTTTATCGGGGCCCACTTCCTGCTGCGCCCGGAAGGCCTGCTCTGGAACTGCACTTATATGCCAGGTCGCCCAATCACCCCATTCCCATTTGCACGACCCTCTCAACAACTGCGTCCATTCTTGCGGAATGGAGATTAGAACATCATTTAGATTCTCCGTAAGCTTATGACAACCTTTTCATTTTTGAAGTTTTTTCTTTTTTTCTTTAGAGAAAGATGCCCCTTCCATTCTGGGGGGCTGCAGTCCATTTACTTATTACCTGCAAGCAGGAAGAGTTGGAGGCTGATTTAGTGACCAACGATTTCGTTGGTTGGCAATCGGGGCAAACCCAGCAAACTGTTTTTTTTTTTTTTTTCCTGGCAATCTGTTGTTTCACGCTGCTGATCCTCGTTATTTTTGTGCTGTGTCTTTGTTCCTCCTTTGCCTCTATATTTCCTTCCTTCCTTCCTCTCTCTCTCTCTCTCTCTCTCTCTCTCTCTCTCTCTCTCTCTCTCTCTCTCTCTC